TCAAACCGGTGATATCTTGTGTTCCGGGTCCAAAACATCCATTAATGGTATTTGTTAATCCCAAGTCCGGTGGAAACAAACAGGGTGCAAAAACATTGCATAAACTTTGTTGGCTGTTGAATCCTCGTCAAGTGTTTGATATTACCACTGTAGATCCAAAATATTCGTAAATTTTTCATCGTTTTCTTCTTATTTTAATTCTTTCTTTCGCATTACATTGGGCTGTTCTACGCTGTTATTATAGAAATAGTATTTTTTCCTAAGTAAAAAGTGTTCAAGTAATTTTTTTAAGAAATTTTAGCAAGATAGTGTTACTATCTATAAGTTTAAATACAAAATTGTTTGTTTTGTTGTAAACACTTTTTCCTTTATTTATTTAGAGTCAAAAAAAATTGTTCAACATTTAATGTTACATAGCTGCTAAGTAAGTTCACATTAGAAACACAGCTTGCTTCAAGAGCAGTATATAACAAGTGTTATATTTTAGGTTAGAAATGTATAGAAATGCATGTCGATCATTGTGGATATTGGTATGTGGCGGTGACGGTACTGTCGGTTGGGTGCTGTCAACATTAGATGAAGTCTGTTCGTTTCTTGATGTACCAGCATTTATGCAATTTTTGTCCGCTTTGACTTAGAAGAAAGTTTTTTAAAAACATTTTTTTTGTTCCTCACGATATTACGTGATGATTATTTTTGACCAGTTGAATTATACGCTTTATGGTAAACATGACGCTTTGTAGTTGAAATGGCCAATTTATCCGCCAATCGCTGTATTACCAATGGGGACAGGCAACGATTTAGCGCGGTAAGTGTGGAAATTGTAGCTTTTTGGGATTCCTATGCTGGTGCAGAATTTTTTCTTTTTTTAACGTTCTTAATTTTGAAAAACTTAGCTCCTACAGTTATTTTCTTCTTTTTGAAATTCATTCCGATTAAGATAAAGGTAACGTTATTGTTCAAAAAAAGCAGTGAAGAATAAATTAATTTTGAAGGACTCTTGGTTGGGGTGGATCATTCAACAACGAACCGATAAGCAACTATTTGGAGGTACTGCTACGTGACGCGTCAGTTACAGAGTTAGACCGGCAAGTTTTTCTGTTTTACCAGTATTTTAGCCCTTGAAACTTATTTTTATTTTTTGTTACACTGTGCAGTGGTCTTTTAAATCTTTAAATCTCATGGTGCCAAAAAAAATAAATGGTCATATGCAATTTAGTAAACGCTCTTAATGATGATAGTGATAATAATACTTTTAAGAAAATGGTACAAACCTCCTTATTCTATTTTTAATTTTGTTTTCACTTGTATTTTTGTTACTTGGTTTTTTTTTGTTCTCAGCAAAGATGTAGACAACGATATCTGCAAAGTGTGCAAAGCAAAGTCTGTCTAAATCGTTTCCCTTAACGGTCTGAATTTAAAACCTTTCCATTTGCTATTTTAGGCCTGTGGAAGAACGATTTTTCTTCTTACTTTCTGTTGCTGCTCGTTATTATTTTTATATCTTTGATTAAGACTGTTATAGTAAATATTCTTAAAATATTTATTTCATTATTTTATATTATAAAACCAAGCCGGACTTAAACTGCGCACGTCTTACCATCTAATTAGAGACATTTTAACACTTTTTAAATTAAAGGTTTACTAATAAAGCTGAAAACGTTCAAGAGATTAAGAGTTTTCTGATAACCGATGTGCTCTAGGGTTCGAATTTCGACCTACCTAAAATGCCGGCAAAGCGGCACTGTAACTCAAGCGTTTTAGAATCAGTGAGGCTGCATGTTTGGAAACACTTTTACTATTCATTATCTAAAGGAAAATTTCGTATTGCAATAAATAGTGAAAAAAGTTATTTTGCGGTTGTTGGGAGGTTTTACTTTATAATTTTGACTTTATCTAATAAAAATATTGTCCTGTATCATTTCAACTTTATTTTGTTCAACACAGTTGGCTTTTTTACTTGCCACAAACTTTTCGTAGTTTCTTACGATGAGATTTACTTTAAATGTATAAATTACATTTTAGAAGGCTACTAAACACTGATCTTAAATTTTCTGCTTTTTGTAACAGACTTAAGTT